CAACTTATATATATATATATATATATGACTAGCAAAATCATCAACATCAATCAAAGAAAGCAGTAGTCCAGCAATGTAATCGTGGTTCAGCCCAGCACCACTGATGACACTTATGCCGAGTCGAAACTGCGCTGCTTCGTGTAGCATCACAAATTTCTTGTTGCCTAGCTGCATAGGAAGATGAATCTCGTCGGCGGTCGATGTTCAAGCTTGACTTTGCAACTGACCGCCTTGAGGAACCCTGTTATTTTTTATAGCCGATAATTGAGTTCGCTGTCGATCCCAGAGGTAATGTCTTCGTTAAAGGAAATGTAATCGCCTTTGTTCACTCAGGTTCTTAAAGGACAGTTGCGTTCAGCAATTAACAAAGTTGAGATGCACCACAAAATAAATGTATTTGAATTGAATTCAATGAATTTCTGGTTCAGCTTAGTACCACTGACGTGACCTATGGTGAATTGAAATGTTGTCTGGTTTTGGATCAAATACGGTGTGTTCAGGCTCTGTTCATTCCAACTAGTTGCTTTGCAATAAAAGACAGGATGAATCTCGCCGGTAGTTGATGTCGAAGCTTAGCTTTGCAATGACCGCTCGGGGAGCCTGGTTTATCTTCCATATTCGAAGATTGAGTTCTCTGTCGATCTTCGTAAGGGGAGATGTTATCACCCTTAGTCAAAGGAAGAAGTGTCCTAGTGTCCTGATTATTTCACAGAAATCTATCCACCACCAACTAGTCTACCTATCAGGTATCTACCCTACGTATCAATGATAACATTGTTTGAGTCTCTTTTTGCCCCTCTGTGAAAATTTTCCTAAATGATAATCGTAATGGAATATAGGCATGATGAAAAATGAATAGAATTGATTCCTCGATCACAGCAAAAAAAAATATTCCAATTGAGTTTAACGATTCTGCTTTATCGATCTATCACTTGATAAACATTTCAACAAGTCCACATGGAGGCTGATTAGGGCCATTTCCATTCCAAAACCTGGGAGATCAGTCTTATGTTTTTTTATTGAAAACATTTGAGGCATAACAGGGAGGTAGCATTGGCTAACTGATTATTGCATCGAGACCAGTTTGCCTACAGATCGGGTATGTCGACTTTATGCCAAGTCAGACTATGCTCACAACAACAAGGAGGTGCTTCAAGTTGCTCTCTTGGATATGAAGGGCGCGGCGCATATGATAACACGAGCCTGGAATTAATCACCCAGACATCAAGGAATCGATTTTACAATCTGCAGGTGGAGATACTACATGCTCAGAGGAAGATTGGTATACACAATCATCATGGGAGAGATGGTAGTAGCACGGATAGCAAGGGGTTGACCTAGGTCGAGGACATATATAATGAAGGTAAAGAGACGTATGCATCAGGTCCTGAATATTATAACTGATTGGATCAATGGAAAGGGCTGAACATAATCTCAACGAAATCGTTCATCGTAGCATTTATCAAGATGGTCGAAACAGAGGTTCCATGACCTCTAAAATTTGAAAGTGAAGGGATAAATCTGTTGGAAGAGGTTAAATATTCGGGAGTGATACTAGGTCCTAAGCTGAACTGTAACCAACATCTGAAAACAATTGTAAAAAGGCGAAGGTATTACTGATGCTGACCAGACGCACTCACGCGAAAACATGAGGGCCTAAATCAAACATGATTTATTGGCTCTACACCTTTGTGAGTAGTCAAGTGAAGTCAAAAATGTTTATTAGCTTTTTTGAATATTTACAAAATATTGGGAATGTGTATGGTGCGGGGCCCTGCTATAGGCTGATGCCCCTTCAAGGTTTTTGTTAGTAAACCCAAAATGTAACAAACTACTGCGATTGATAAATTAGGCATAGGTAATAACGAGAGCAATGGAAACCACTTATACAGCTGTATTGTAAACACTCTTGAATATTTATCCTTCACATCTAGTAATGATGGGGAAAGCAAGGATGGACAAAAAAAATATCACCGAGTTATATGGGATCGAGCAAAACAGAAATTTCAAAATATAGTGCATTTATTTGTTGCCTCCACCCTTTTATTTTTTGAGCGAGTCAACTCAAATAATTGAAATTTGGGATAATGAAATCAATGCATGGATAATTTATTTTGAAGTGAAAGTGAAAGATAGAACTTTCAAGATGGCGACTGGGCACCATCTGGGAAAGAAAAATTAAATAAATGGGGGGTCTTGTGATACATCTTTTTGAAGCTCCTGACAAATGCTTCACAACCCTAGAATATAATGTCAATATCTTCAACTACTACAAAATGGCGGAACTTTTAATAATTGCCTGAATACATTGATATTTAACTACATAATATGAGGTGATAAGCTTGAGATCAGTTTAGAAGCTGCTCGAAATGGTTGCCTTGAACTTCTTAACATATGAACAGCCTATCCGATATTTCACGCCAAACATTTTCGAACACAGTAACGTCAATATCTCTACAAATATTTATTATATTCTCTGCCGTATATTCAATATTGAAGCAGGTTCAGTTTCGTACATCTTTTACTTCGAATAGCCCCATGAAAAGAGTCCAAAAGTGTCAAATCTGGCAAGCGGGCTGGCCATTCTGTAGGCCTTGACTGCCAATCCAACGACCGAGAAAAGTAGTATCCAAATAGTTTCTTACTTGTCTGGAGTAATGTGGGGGTGATCCATCTTATTGAAATACAATATCCATATCGAATTCATTAGAATTCGCTTCGACGATTTCAGTGATAAGAGGGTCAACTGTAGTTTCCAGCATATTCAAATACAGTTTTCCTGTTGAATTTTGGTCAATAAATAGAGGTCCTACAGTATGGTTTCCCAATATTTCTGCCCAAACGTTATTTTTTTCTGGATATTGTGTATGTGTTTCCCGGAAAACGTGAGGGTTGGTGTCTGTGAACATTGTCGTATGAAAAAAATGTACATTCGTCACTAAAACGAATATTGTGGAGATAGGTAGGATGCCTTGCAATGGTTTCCGTCATGATTTCGCAGAATTCTGTTCTTCGATCAGGGTCACCTTCAGTTAAATGGTGTACCATTTGAATTTTGTACGGATGATACCTATTTCTCTTCAAAAGTGTCCACACAGTAGAAGGAGACACCTCACAAACATTCGCGACGGAATAAGTAGACTGTTCAGGAATTAGTACCATCTCACCAATTATTTGCACTTGTTGTTCTTCCGAAATGGACGGATGACTTAGGGGCTTTTTGTTATGTACACTATCGGTAGTTATAAATTTGGATACAAGTTTCCTCAAATATTTTCTACATATAGGACGATTCGGAAAACGTTCATTGAAAATCCTTTCGGTCTCGTGAAAGTTACGCGTCGCACCGTAAATTAACATCGCTTCAATTTTTTCTTCCAATGAACGAGAATTGCCCATTTTAGAGATTGTTGACGTGGTACCTTTGTACTAGTAAAACCGAAAACTCAATGAGAATATTGTAACTGAACAACGATGTGCATTGTCGTAGGTACTGACATTTCGCTACGTTTTTATAAATAAAAAATAACTTGACAAAACCTATCGGGTTGTTGGAATTGCTATATGGTAGATAAAAAGGAATATTTCTAGAAATATCGAAATTAATGTGTTTGTTTTCTGGAAATTATTGTAGGTAGGTAGTAGGTGAAGCTATTGACTTCATATTCTAGGGTTGTGAAGTATTCGTCAGGAGCTTCAAAATGATCTGTCACAAGACCCCCCTATCCATTTAATTTTTTCCCCAGATGGCGCCCAGTCGCTATCTTGAAAGTTTCATCTGTCAATTTCACTTCAAAATAAAGTACTCATGCTTTAATTTCATTATTTCAAATTTCAATTTTTTGAGTTGACCCGTTCAAAAAATAAAAGGAGGGGGACATTAAAGAACTGCACTGTATGTGGAGGAACTAATATCAAACAAGTTCCCGGACATGACACCGAAGTATATGGTCGACACAAACTTCGCGGATGAAGTTTCAAATCGAAAAAAATCCTGAATATACAGAATGCTACAACATTTCGATAGATCATCCATATGATTTCCGGAAGCAGAAATCAACAGAGGCACTTCTCACATATTATGTTACCAGAGGTTTTTCAATTTTAAGAGAGTCATAGTCACGACCGCACCGGGGGGCCTGGGGGGCCGGTTAGGCCCCCCAGACGTACCCTGGCGTTGGATGCGATCGGGCGTGGAGGGGTGGATTTTCGGGAAATCCTTGCGGGTACCGCCCCTCACCCCACACCAACATGATTTCGCAGGGCTTCCTCCCGCTCACCGAACCCGGAATTGCTTCCTTACATCTACTTAGTGTGGCTAACCAAGAGACAGGACCATCGGCAGCGTTCGACCGAACGTTCGTACAAGTTAACTAAGCTCTTCTTTCGCCAGAGAGTGCTCGCGTCACACACCTGCCCCCGCCAGCCATGCCAAATCAATTGGGAATATGGTCCCGGAAGTGGCCGGCCGGGGTCCTAAGCTCGGATACTAGTAGCTCCGTCCAATCCGGGTTCCGACACCTCAAGCGTCTGCCTTGGTGCCCTCCAAGGCTAGACTCGGATACTAGAGCCCGGAAGGACCGCAAGCCCCGACACCTCGAACGCTTGGATCCGTACAGAAGCAGGCGAGGATCACGGAACAGCATAAGCCGTCCAGTGCCTCATAATGGGGCTGCAATGCACCCATGAATGGATTACCGCAGCCCTGTATCCCTTCACCCGCTAGCGGAGCCGCTGCCCGCCAACGCCAGTTGGAGATGAGGCTCACTAGCCTCCAGCCGCGAGCGGGCACTCATCTCCCCCCTAGAACTCATGTTAGGAAAGTTCCCTTTCCAACGTTTGATGAGTAACCGTCGAGGACTCTCACGAGCATCCTCTACCACACATCATATGTCGAAGATGTCGCGCCCATTACCCGTATAGGTGCGGGATAGGGCGGTTCATCAACAACTTTTGGGTGTACGCCGTGTGGTCTGCACCGCATACCCTTACGTTACCCCAAGGGGCACTCATGTTAGGAAAGCTACCTTTCCAGCGTTGGATGAGTAACCGCCGAGGGCTCTTGCGAGACACCTCTCCCACACATCTAGCTTGAAATCAGCCAACGCCTGTTGCCCGCAGATGCGGCATAGGGTAGTTGACCGATAACTTTACTGGGTGAGTGTCGTGTGGTCTGCACCGGGGGACTGTCAAACACCCATAAGAGAGAGACAGTGATCCCCCGCCACTCACCCCGATATTTTCTCTTATTTTCCATCTTAAGATCTGCATGAAAAATATTGGTTGGCTGATTATTCTAAGTGAATCAAAAGTTTCGTTTATCTAAACATTCGATTCACCATTCGAATAATAAGATTTTTTTTTGTTTCGAGTTGATTTTGTGTCTCAAATTCATTTTAGAGAAAATTTGTAAAAAGCTGTGAACATTGACTTCACACATTTGCATGAGAAGGTACATACGAGTTGAAGAGCACATACCTCAGTTTTCAAGTTATAAAACTGAAAGATTAATTTTGATGAATTGATAGCAATTTTTTTAACAAATACGTGCTTATACTCATGTAGGTATATTAGAAATTAACCAATTGAATAAATTAGAAGTTCATGTCTTTCATTTTAGAGCATGTTAATGAAAGTTTGTTTTTGAAATGGATTTGAATAATTATTCTCATTTCAATTTTCAGTTATTGCGTCATTGTTGACAAAATCAAAATAAAACATCAGATCAAAATCTCAGTTGATAACCTATTTATTCTAAAAATTATATTTCGACTCACCATATTTGAGAGAGTATAAATAAATGTGAGGAAGCGAAATGCACAAAATGAACAACACACACTTGAAGTCCGTCATCGCTATTTGCGATCTTCAAACAAGTTTGGAAATTTAGATTCACTATTTATTAGTACTTTTCTCCTTCCACATGTTGTAGGATATGGAGATTATCGGGTCTCAATTCGTACTGGAATCCATTCTGATTCCGAGAAAATGTATTATGTTATATTTGACTAACGTTTATCAGAGACGCACTTGCTCAGATCAAAATCACTTTATTTCGCAGTCAAAATCTTTGGAAATTGCTCTTCAAGAAATTATAAGTCAGAGTGCCGTTGGAAGTAGAATTGAACGCTAATTGAAATGATGTGCCACTTGATCTCCCTTCCCATTCAAAATTCTAAGGGTAACATGTACCCCTCCTAGGGGGTTGAACCACGAGGGCTAGAGAGAGTCCTTAAAAGTGTTCCTTTCGTGAGTGTGCTAGAAATCGCACTGTAAAAGGGTGAGACCTTGTTAATCTTTATATCGCACAAGTTCACTTCTGAGGGGCACCAGCTGGTTAACGGTAAAACATATTTTTGAGCAGAATAATTATTATTTGAACTAGTAGAACTTAAAACTACCACAATGAAGTTTTGAATTCAATATTCTTGAATAAAAAAAAGTCCTGCCCATATATGCGTAAAATTTGTGGCGAAGGTTATCTTCTATCATTCCATTTATTGCATGTTTACATAATATTATTACATGTTAACGAGATGTCGGGCAATACTTATTTGGATATCATTCGAAAAACTGAATTTTATAATACTGAGTTGAAGAAGGAAGTAACAATAGAATTGTGAATTCCATTTTAAAGAAAAAAAATAAATTTCTGATATAATGAAAATAGATACTGTGAATAAAATTTCAAGGATAATCATGAAACGTTTTAATTTCATCATTTTCAACTAAGTAACATACTATAAAATTTGTATCGACCATTTCACATTCTATGTTTAATCGTAACGTTTTCATTTCATTTTCAAACTTTCTCGATAAATATCAGCTATGTCATCCATAAAAAGGTGGGAAAATGAAACAAACGAATCGGAGGAAAAACTGCAAGTTATATTTCATTTTTTCCATTCCAAAGACGGAGGCAGATATTGGCCTCAGAATACTTAAAATTATTTGTTGAAGGTGAAAATACCCAGAAAGGACGATAAAAAATCTCAATAAAAAATGACAGCCACATAAAATTAATAGTTTTTTGCTTGGGCTTCGAAGACAGTTGAATCCAGCAATTAATTCATGGTTCAATTCAGCACCACTGAGGAGACCTATGGTTGGTTGAAACATTGCTGTCTGCAAGTCGCAATGTAAGAAAAAGAAGGAATGTCGTATAGGTGGAGATATCATCGCCTTTCCCTACTCAAGCCAGTTGTGTCTAGCGTCAGTGACAAGACCTATAGTGACTCAAAACAGTGATGTATAGTGTTGGATCAAGAATATTTTGTTTTTTGGGTTTTGTTTCAACTAGATGCCTAGCAGTACAAGGTTCGGTGATGGACAGAGGACAAAACTCGTTCAGTGGTCGATTCAGAAGCTTGGTTTTGCAACGGGTCGCTCTGGAGAACCATTTTCGTGGTTCGAGTCTTTTATTGATTCCATAAATGTCGTCCTTGTGAGGAAAGGTGCCATCGTCTTTCCTTATTTTTTGCCAAAAAAAGGTTGATGTTATTCTTCACATTGATATAACTTTATTTTCCATGAATCGATTGAACAGTGACTCTAGGGTGAGTCTAATCAAAATACATTGGGGAAAACTGCGCTCAACTCGGTTGAGCTATTTTTGCGAACGACGCGCATACATGCATATCCAAGAAGAGTACAGGATTCTTGAAACCGTTGTTCATGGTTTTATTGCGTTGATGAAGATTTACGATGGTGGTCCCAGAAGTACGCGGCCCAATACAGAAAACACAAACGTTTTGGAAAGAAATATATTTATTTCTCAACATGATTTCATTGCAGCTATATACACTTTTATCAGCGACGCTCAATAAATTCAATATCGTGTTTATAATAGGTTCGTTCCAACCTTGAGTCACAAACAGATTTCCAACTGTTTGTAAATCGTTGACAACGCGCATGTCTGTTAAATATTGGTTTCTGATTAATTTGAAATTTCTGATTGGAACAGCTGATAGTTCAACTGAAGTTTGGCATGGAATTTCAACATAACCTTTAAAAATAATTTGGGAAAGAAAGTTTTTGGCTTTCTACTACTCCATCTTAATACAAAAAAGGGGATGAGGGAATCTTCCAAAGAAAAGAAGGAAGTAATCAATTTGAAAATAAGTAACTCTATACATGGATGTGTAGATCATGCAAAGAAGTAACTTTCAGACACAAACTGAAAGAATGTCCTCCTGAAACAGCTACTTTCATATAAACATTGAATTACACGAAAGAAAAAAAATTCTTTCGAAACAAATACTTCTATATGAACACTTAATTATAAGAAGATACTTTTCTCTACTCAGTTTGTATTTCAATGTCACTCCTAAAAATATAACCCCTTCAATTCTTTAAAAATAAATCTAATCAAGTGTATTTTTGGAGAGTAAAAGAAGGTTGCAGTATTTTATATCTCTATTCTATTTACTTATCAACATGGAACTGGGAGGTCACCGCAATTATTAATTTGTGTAATTAAAGATGTTCATATTATAGGTTCACTTAAATAATTCCCAATTTTTCCTGCGCCAGCAAATGCATAATTTATTTTATAACAATTTTTGCAGGTTATGTTGTTTGTAAGTTGCATGAACATAAAACAGAAACAGTAATACGGAATACGCATGCGTCAGATTGATGGTTAGAAGATAATCCTCAAACCATTCTGATAGATTTCGAACAGGTTTGAATCTTGGATGGAACAGAAAACTGATAGTTTACTAATGGTTGGAAACTCACGTTGGATCGTTATCACATTACTGCGCAGAATCCTGACTGTCAGAAACTGTTTCTGACGCTGGTTGGAACGAACCTAATGAGAACTCTCTTCCTCCCCAAAATAACTATTAACTGCCAACATCACTTCTTCATCGTTGGAAAATCTTTGACCACTGGTTCATTATTTCAAGTTGGGAAACAAAAAATAATCTGAGGGGACTAAATCTGGCGACTACGGTACATGAGGTAGCAATTCAAACTTTAATTCGTTAATTTTGGTCATATGATAATGGCTTTGTGAGCTTGTATATTGTGTCAATGAAACAACACTTCTTTCTCAGCCAAATGCTTCCGTTTCTGCTTGATTTCTTCACTCGAACGTTGAAATAAAGTCGCATAATACTCGCCGTTGATAGTTTCATCTTTTTTGAGATAGTCATTAAAAATTATCCCACACACAAAAGACAATGCCATGACCTTGCCTGTAGATGAAACGGTTTTCGCCTTCTTTGGAGCGGGTTCTCCCTTTTGTGTCCACTATTTTGATTGTTTTTTTGTCTTGGGTGTGAGAAGTGATGGATTCATGTTTCATCCGTGGTTATGAAACGACGCAAGAATTCTGCTTCGTTGCTGTGAAACTTCGCTGGACACTGAATTGAAATATCTTGGCGACACTGTTTTTGCTCGAGTGTGAGCAAGCGCGGCACTCATCTTGCACAGAGGTTTCACAATTTTACACAGAGTTCGGGCACTTTCAGTTCATGATCAGTCAGTACCGCTTTGTGCATTTTATTCACCGTTTCTGGAGTCGTCACTTCATTTGTCGAGCACTGCGATGTTCATCTTAGCGACTCGTACGGCCTCGTTTAAACTCTACCACTCAATATTTTTCTATTGTGAATGAAGGAACAGACTCACCCAGAGTAGAATCCAGTTCAGCTTTAATATTGGTTGGGCCTAGGCCTTCCTCAGGCCTTCCAATGAAAGTATTGTACCACATAAGGATGACCAATTCACCGAAATTATTCGCTAACAAATACTAAACAATGCAGTGTCTTCAAACTTGATACATATACTTTTAGATTGTGTACTTTCTTATATTTTTCAAACTACCGCTATCTCTAGGTCCGGCAGGGTACTCCTGGTCCCACCCTGGTACAATGAAACATAGTCTTTCTCGAATGTCCTCCATGTACAGACAGTTGAACTTTCATTGTGTGTATTAGTTGATTGAACATTTCGAAATAAGGTCTGTTTGGTGCGGCAATCAGTTGGTTCGTATTTGTTTTGAAAGGTCGATTTCTTGATGACCGGATGAACTGCTAGATTCAAAATTATAGATGGAGTGAAATATGTGATTATAAGTAACAACTCTTTATAATTGGGATTTATTAATAGTATATTCAAGGAATGGGAAAAACAATCATATATACCAATATTACTGCATTTGATTTACTTTGGGGATTTCCGAAAATGCAGTTCTCTCACCAAAAAATTCGAGCTGATCACTTGAAAAAGAAAGCAATATTGAACATTTGCTGAATGTAAAGTAACAAATTCATCCATTTCCAAAATTATTTGGTTTTTCATAAACAAAAATCAATTTTATGGGAGTTTTTGTATTACTAATTACTTTTCATAGAGCATTGAATTTTTGAATACCAGAAGAATATTATTATCATTTATTTATATTTCCAATGGGATATTTATCGAAAAATATATAATTTACAAGTTAGTCAAATGTGTTTCACTCATCTTGTACCTCTAACTATGATTACATTGTTTTATCTTTTTACAATTTATGTTGCGATGAAAATAAACATGATTACATAATTCAAACGACTAGATATAATGAATGTCTCTCCATTGAGTATGTTGAGAGGATATAATTCTATTTACTTAGAAACTATTTGTTTAACGGGTTTTTCTGATTAGCCATCACAAAAGGTAACATGAATATTAATTTTATATTATTCATCTTTTGGTCATAAATTATTCACTGGTTGACGATCAGCAAAATCTCTCGTGTTCATACAGAGTGATTCTTGATTAATATAGTTTTGAAATGAATAACCTGTCCAAAGTAAAATCCTGAGAACTTATTGAGAACAGTGCTTTTTTGAAAATTGTATATCGGTGTTAATCATATTCATTTGGAATATTGTCTTTGAGACGTTTGTCTCAATGATGTGAAATACTTCCAAATGAATATATAAAGGATAAATAAGTCATCAATTTTCTTTCTATGTTCCAGACCCAAATTTCTTTCTAGTTTTAGACCCA